TCTTAACAGAAACCACTGAGAAAATAGAAGACATCAAACAACCTTCCTCACTTTTCGACCTTCCTCTCCACTATTAGATCTAGGAGCATATGCATCATTTTCCAAACACTTTTAGTATCCCCTGTTATAATTTAAGTTCCATTATAGCTAAGTAACGGTCAAGAAAAGAAAGTGAGATTTTCAATATAAGGTAAAACTTTTACTCTTCAAGTAAAGAAAGCTGTAGACGTGTCATGAGCCAGGGTCTCCAAGGAGCTGAATGCAAAGAACATCTAATAATGAAATCCTAGGACTAGTGCTGGTTATTGAGAGTGGGAATCTGAATTTCTTTGTTACCTAAAATTTGAAATGCTAACTTAAGAATTTCAATAATGTGGGCGCCTGGGTGGCTCAGTCATTAAGCATCTGCCTTTGGCTCAGGTCATGATCCCAGGGTCCTGGGATCGAGTCCCACAGGAGGCTCCCTGCTTGGCGGGAGGCCTGCTTCTTCCTCTCCCACTCCCGTTGCTTGTGTTCCTGCTCTCATTATCTCTGTCTCTGTCAAATAAATAAATAAAATCTTAAAAAATTTCAATAAGGTAAGGTAGAAGTTGTTAATATTAGAAAAACTGTAATATCACTGAAGAAATGACTTATAAAGTAACTATAATAAGTTTCCAGGTTGCAAGTTTTGTTAAGTTTGACCATAAGAAAGCCTCCTAATCTCTGAGCTTTTTTTTTTTAAGCTCTGATACTCTCTTATTCATTTCTATTTCAACTTTTATTTCTACTCTGTGTTGTGTACACAGGAAGTACTAGTGTATGCTGTGTTTGGTTTTGTTTCTCAATGTATTAAAAAAAAAAAACCTCAAATCTTGCTACTTTAACTTTCCAATCATTAATCATTATAATTCAGGCACTTATTTTTATTTTCCCAAGTAACTATTACTAGAAACTACAAAGACTTATGGTAAATAAATCAAACATTCTTTTTACAAGCTAAGCTGGAAACTGAGACCTGGCTTTTTTCCTGCTGAGTTCTGAAAAATTATACTATTTAGAAATAATTTTTAAAGTGCTCTTAGTAAACACAAAGGTGATTCAGAGTAGATGCTTAAAGTCAAAACAATAACTTAAGTCCTTACTAGTATTAGTTTGCAAAAAGCAATAGCATTACAAAGGTGCCACAATAAAATTTATTTTACTGAAGTTCTGCATTGCTTTTCTTCAAAATCCACTGCTATGCTACTTTTTAAACTCTGAGAACAAATTATTTTATTATGACAGAATCTGAACACATGTAAATATATTCTGAACAAGGATTTCAAAACAAAAGGCAACATAAATTGGACTCTTACATGTAGGGATGCAAATACTACTCTGAGTCTTTTTAGTCAAAACCAAACTATAGAGACTAGATTTTAAACTTCAAAGAGACCATTAGTTCTCAGTGAATGCCAGCCACATGTGTTATGAAATTCAGATGTCTTAGAAAGCTAAATGAACAATTACTGAAAATCCCCAAACTATCCCATTACTGAGCTAAGGAAATGACTGAATTGCCTAATTTTACCAGAACTCTATGAAACAATGCTCCAAATAAGAAGCAAATGGGACAGTTTATAAATATTTTCCTTAAATGTGATTTTTAAAAAGTTAGTTGCTTTTTTTTTCAAATTTACCTGAATTGAGAAGGAATCAAATATCAAAATTCTTCCTAGAAAGTTAAAATAAATTCATGACACAAAGATTTATTCATGAGTGTATTCTTAGCTTGCCTTTCAAATTCAGTAGTTTAATATCTTTACCTGTTTGAGATAATGTTACTGATTTGGAGTATGCTTTTGAGATACAGACATTATTCCTGGGTTAAATTGTGTTCCTCCAAAATATAAGCAAGTCCTATCCTCCAGGACCTCAGAATGTGACCTTATTTGGACACAGGGTCACTGCAGATGTGAACAGATAAGATGAGGTCATGCTAGAGTAGGGTGGGTCCTTAATGCAATATGACTAGTATCCTTTTAAGAGGAGAGAGATGCAGAGAGAATGCCATGGGAAAATATAAAAACACAAAGGGAGAAGACAGCATGTAAAGACAGAAGAGAATGGAGTTTACTGCCACAAGCCAGGAACTCCTTGAGGACACCAGAAGCTAGGAAAGCAAAAAAAAAAAAAAAAAAAAAATAAGCTTCTTTGCATACAGATTTCAGAGGGAGTACATAGTCTTGCTGACACCCTGATTTTGGACCTCTACCCTCTACAACTACAATACAATAAATCTCTGTTGCTTTAAGCCATCCAGTTTGTGGTATTTTATTATAGCATTCCTAGGAAACTAATATACTTCTCCACATAAACAATGTGGAATATTCAAGCTTCATACCAAAAAAAAAAAAGTATTTGAAATTTAAGTGAGCCTTTACTATATATTGAGATTTTATACATCTCACAGAAATTATGGCTTTCAGATCACTACCAATATATCTCAAGTATAATTAATATAGGATTTTAATTAATTAATAGTCGGTATATATGTGCAAACTGTGATATGGGCACAACCAAAGGAAAATTAGTTATTTCCTCATTACTTAATCTACTGTCTTTGAATTTCTTTTCCACTTAGCATCAAAATGTTTAGAAAAGCATTTTTACTCTATGGACTAATAGCAATAGTGATGGAGGCTCTGCATGGTGCTTGTGACCCACAGTCTACTGTTGGAAGAGGAATAGGAATATGGAGGGAATCCCTTTGCGGTACGTGCATACCACATATGGTATATGCATACCACCTTCAGGCATGCACAGATGGCTAAAGGCTGAAGAGAAAGCAAGAACACTAAGCACTGCTACTCTAAGCACAAGGTAAGAGGAGCCCATTACTAAGAGAGCTTGAAGACTACTGCACTGAAATAAAGTTAGCAACAGCAAAGTATGAACCCAGTTCAACTTCTGACTAGATTGTCTGGACCTCCATCCTATACTAACTGCCTGAAATAAAAGGAAGTGTGCTTATTCCCGGGGATTAAATACTGTTAATTTCAATCTCTACTGTTTTTCTATACACAATGTCCAGTACTCAATAAAAAATTAACAGATATATTAAAAAAGAGAGGAAAAAATAACCCACTATCAAAAGGTAAGCCAACCAGCAGAATGAGACTCATAGGTGACCTGTGTGTTAGAAATATCAGACAGGACTTTAAAAATAACTATGATTAATATATTAAAGGATCTAATGGAAAAGGTAAACAATATTCATGAGAAGAATTGGAATTTTGTTGAGAAATGGAAACTTTAGAGTTAAATGGAGATGCTACAAATGAAAAACACAATATTAAAGGTGAAGAATTATTTCAAGAGGCTGAACAGTAGACTCAATAAAACCAAAGAAAGACTCAGTAACTGTAGATCAAGAGAAATTATAAAAACTAAAACACAAGGAGACAAAACGAGTGAGGGAAAAACCCAGAGCACCTAAGAACTGAAAGAAAATAGCAAGCAATCTAATGTAAGTGTAACTGGAATCCCAGAAGGGATAGAGAACAGGGTAGGAGAAATATTTAAAGAGTTAATGGCTAAGAATTTTCTAAAAATAATGAAGGACATCCTGCCGCAAATCTATGAGGCTTATGGAACCCCAAACAAAGCAAACAATAAAAATACACACCAAGCAGCCAAGTTGCTGAAAAATCAAAGAAAAAGAGAATCTCTTGAAGACAGCTGGGGGGGCTGGGGTGGGGAATTATTTTTGTAAGAGCAAAAATAAGAAAAACAGTAGACATCTCATCTAAACTATTCAAACTAGGAGACAATGGAATGATATCTATAAAATACTGATATGGTGCTTTAAAATGTTTTTTTTTTTTTTTTTTTTTTTTTAAACCATCAACCCAGAATTTTTTATCCAGTGAAAATATCTTTCAATAGTTAGGGTGAAGTAAAGAATTTTTCAAACAAATGAAAGCTGAGAGAATTCACTGACAGCAAATCTGTTACGCAAAAAAAAAAAAAATGCTCACAATAGTTTTTCAGGCAAAAGGAGTACAATACTAAATAAAATTTGTACCTACCCAAAAATGAACACTGAAAATGACAAAAATGATAGTAAATATTAAAAAGTTTTCCTCCTATGTTTAAAGATAATTAACTGTCTAAAGTAAAAAGAACAATATATTGTGGGGTTTCTAACCTATGTAAAAATAAAATGTATGACAATAACAGCACAAGGTATAAGAAGAATTAGAAGTATACAGTTGTAAGGTTATTAAACTGTATGTGATGTGACATAATATTTGAAGGTAAACTGTGATAAAGATGTATACTGCAAACCACAGGGCAACCACTAAAAAATTAAAAAGAGGTACAGCTAATAAGCCAATAATGGGAATACATGGGAAAAATAAAGATTACCCAATTTTTCCAAAAGAAATCAGAAAAAGATGGAAGGAATAAAGAAGAGTTCAGAAAAATCAGAAGACAACAAGATTTCAAGCCAAGCCAAACTCAACCAAAGTCACTTTAAATACATATGGTCTAAATCTCCCACTTAAAAGGTATAGATAGTCACAGATTGGATAAAAAAGCAAAACCCGACTATGCTATCTACAAATAACGCACCTTGTATATAAGTTTATTCAGATTAAAAATGAAGGAATGGTAGAAGATGTATTATGCAAACACTAATCAAAGGAAATTTGTGTCTATATGGTCAGACATAGTAGACACAGAACAAGCAGTATTACCAGGGATAAAGTAGGACATTATACAATGTTAAGACATAACAATCCTAAATAGACCTTCAATATTTACAAAATAAAAACTGATAGAGCTAGAAAGATTGGCACATTCAATTATAGAATAGGTGCTTATTTAATGTAAACTTAGCTTTTGTGTCAGGCACAGTGAATATAAACAGATTTACGAAGGCCTTGCTTTCACTGAGTTTCTATTTCCACGAGGAAGAAAAGAGTAGTAAACAGAATAAAAGCTTCAATACAGTCTTTTACAGGGTTCTATGGAAGCACAGAGAAGATATATGTCTTCTGGAGGAAGAGATGAAGGAAAAAGGAGAAAGGTGGTTTACATAAAACTTCACAGATTTAAACATTCATGTCCATGATAAACATAAGTATAGTCACCTATAAATTATGAATACATAGTGAGATTTATACAGTAAAATTAAAGTGCTTTTTCTAGCTCACCTATAATCTAAGCTAACTCTTATTTAATAGAGTAATAGTTCTTTTTTTTCTTTTTAAAGATTTTTGTTTGACAGAGACACAGCGAGAGAGGGAACACAAGAAGGGAGAGTGGGAGGGGGAGAAGCAGGCTTCCCACGGAGCGGGGAGCCCAATGTGGGGCTCGATCCCAGGACCCTGGGATCATGACCTGAGCTGAAGGCAGACGCTTAACAACTGAGCCACCCAGGCACCCCAAGAGAGTAACAGTTCTTAAAATACTAATAACATATATTACATAATCATTTTTGAGGCATCTCAAAACCTGTGACCAAATTAGCATTAATTCTGTCTTTATTTATCAAACTTTTTGGGGGTTACCTATGATTCTTCATAAACTTGAGCTAGGTTTTGGGAATACAAAAATAACTGATTCATAGTCATGGAGAAAAAAGTATGAAGGAAAATATTTAAGCAGTAAACAATTATGTTTTTAGAATATAATGGAAGCACAAATAAAGAAATTAGTTTTATATGAAAGGGTTAGAAAAAGGTTCATGGTCATGTTTTCCAGAATGTCTTTCAAGACATCTATTATGTGTGTAAAAAGAAAGAAAATGTGTACTCTTGTGTTTAGATCCTGATTGCCTTATTAACTCTACTGAGGAAAATTTATGTAAAATAAACTACATAGATTTAAAATGTATAACTGATGAGTTTTGACAGTTCTGTATACCCTAGAAACCACCAATACAATCCAATTCCACAAATCTCTTTGCAAGCCATCTCTCCCTCCACCTCTGGCCCTAGACAACCAATGTTTTCTGTCACTATAGATTATTTTGCACTGTGTGTGTGTGTGTGTATACACACATTAGATATAAATATGTATATTATATATATAGATTAATGCAGCATGTATTCTTTCAGGTCTAACACTCTTAGCTCAGCTTAATGATTTGGAGATTCATCCATAGTATCAGGTATGTAAGTGGTTTACTCTTTACTGCTAAAGAGTATTCCACCGTATGGATAGATCACTGATTTTTTTTTTAAAGATTTTATTCTGTATCACTATTTTTTTACTATATTTACCTATATTGATAGACATTTGGGTTGTTTCTAGTTTGAGACTACTGTGAATATAGCAGCACTGAATGATGAACTGAATGCTGAGTTGGGTAAATACCCAGGAATGGAACAGCTGAATCATATGGTAGGTATTGGTTTATGAGTGTATCACTACTGAACACTATTATTTAAAAGAAGAATGTGATGGGCACCTGGGTGGTTCAGATGGTTAAGCGTCTGCCTTCGGCTCAGGTCATGATCCCAGGGTACTGGGATCGAGTCCTGCATTGGGCTCCCTGCCCCTTGGGAAGCCTGCTTCTCCCTCTGCCTCCCTCTCTCTTTCTCTTTCTCTCTCTGTCTCTCATGAATAAATAAATAAAATCTTAAAAAAAAAAAAGAATGTGATGTGCCACTGAAAACTTTTGAGAAATTTTCAAATACTGTAAAAACTGAAAATCTTAAAAGACAATTAAGTATTCATGAGCATATAAGAGACACTTTAAGTGCTCATCAAACTGAAGTGAAACTTTAGCTGCTTCATAACTAGTTAAGCATAGGGCTTCTCCTTCTCCAAAATCAATTTGGCCACTACAGAGAAGCATCAGTGCCATTCTACAAAACTGCTTTTAATGTATAACTTTTCCAATTAATTTTATAATAAATAAACATCCAAATCACAAAATGAGAAATAAGGGTTAAAAGAAATAAGGGTTGATAAGAAAAAACTCTAGAAATGATAGAAATTATGTCATAACAATTCAGAAATCTGAAGAAGAAAAATATAATCAGATCTTCATGCAAGAATGATAGCATTGCTCCCGCTCTCAAAAAGTATTAAATATTTTCACCTGGAGGTTTGTCAGTCAGTCAATTTTAACATCAAATTACTTTTTAAAAAATGGCCTGTGATTTTCATTCAGTTATGGCTTCCTGCAATATATACCGATCTGGAAAAAATGACTTGGCATATCTCCATTTCTTTCTTTTCTATAGCACTATATAATACTGACATGCTCTAATAAAGGTTAGGTGATACAAATGACATATATTATATACTTATTAACTGACCTATACTATATTATGTGGAATAAAGAGGAAAAACACAACCATCACCTGGTATTCACTCAAATGACAAACTGTCCAACTGAAAGAAATTGTTTCTGTTCTTTCATCTTCTTATCACTGCTTATTTTAAGGTTTTTCAGGTCACTGAGGAACTTTTTTTGCTGCTTATTTGACATATTACTAAGGTTTTGCTGCTTATAACCTCAATTTATTTCATTTAAAGCACAGTATCAGAAAAAATTTTATGCTAGTGAGCTACTACTAAATGGAAAAGTTCACTTTACAATGCTAATAAATCACATTTAAAAGGGTGTATCAATCAGTAAAAGCTGGACAAAACTGAATTTAAAATATTTGTTAAAAATATGTAAGATGTGTATAAATTCCTTTCTATCATTCTTCATCCCAGGAATGGAAGAATTTATTCAAGACATTAAAGGCAGTATAATTTTAATTTTTACCATCTATATACCTGTATCCAAAGGAATAGTACAAAGCAATAGGTATTTATCTGAAAATTTGAAAGGTATACCTATGTTTGTCTAATTGGTTTATTGAGAATAAAACTCTCAGATTGTTATCTGGCTTTCCTTAGTTTTACTAAGAATCCTGATCAAATCACAAGGTCTTTTATTTCCCAGTGAATAAACAGGGAAGTATTTCAGACTCCTCTACATTTATAGAAAAGGACAAAAATAAAGGATCAAATATGATAATAAAGCATGTTTATGCACACATAATACTTTTTATATAATGTTTTCAAATTTGGGAAAACTAAAGAGCTTTTCCTTCATCATTTGGTTCTGCTCCATCCTCTTTCAATTAGGTAGTTTATTTTTTGTGATTTATAAGAGATTAAACAAAATGTTGGTTTAGGATTAGCTTTTCACAAAAGTCTCAGAACATATTCCTAAATCTGCAGTTCTAAGAGCTGAACCATTAATATTAAAGCATAAATGTATTTAATGAAGTATGTATTTATGAAAGTGATAACTTCCTCAAATACAGTGCTTAACACAATGAACCATAAATTTGGATTTTAGTTCAGCACTATCCTAAAAAGTCATTTGAATTCTCAGGCCTCAGTTTCCTTATCTGTAAAATTTGGAATGAGTGGATTAGAAGACTTAATTCTAAAAGTCTCCTCTATTTAAAAAATTATTATCTAAAAAATTATGAATTCTAGGTGTCTTTATTCCCTAAGCTTTCTAATTTCTCATGGTCCCTTGAATCTATACCACCTACTGAAGTATAATTTGAATATCTTGCTAACTGCAAGAAATCATTTAAACTTTTTGGGTGTTTATCCCCAAAATGTATACAAATATAAAGATCTAGAAATAGCCCACCTGTCATTTCCTCTTGCATATCTCTTTTAAGAACTCAGACTTATTACTGCCCCCAGAAAAGCAAAACAGGCAGCAATAACAAAAGTCAGAAAAACATAACAAAAAATCTCTGTTCTTTCCTATATCAGTAAACTGCCCTAACCTCTGTCCAGCTACTCAAGCCCCAAGTCTAGAAATTACTTTGATTTCTCTTACTCTCACTCCTGTAAATACTTCTCGAATTCTGCTGCCCTCCATCAGCGTCGCTACCATAACCCTAACCCAAGTCACTATTATCTCTTGCCTGGACTACTACAAAAGTCTTATAATTGGTCTCTATGCTTCCATTTTAATTCCCAACTTCCATTCTTCTCAACCCACTTTCCATGCAGCTCCAAGAGTGATGTTTTAAAATCTGAATCAGATCCCCTTTCATAAATTCCTATTACCTTAGAATGACCCACAAGGTTCTCTATGATCTATGTCTTGCTTATTTCTTCCATGTTTTTGTAGAATACTCTTTCTGTACACAGCATCTCCTTTATCTTGATCTCTTTTCTATTCTTTAAACATACAAAGTTCTTTCCTCACCCAGGGCTTTGCAATTGCTCTACTTCTAAAGGAATATTCTTCCCCTTCTCTTTAAATAGTTCATTCTCATTTTTCAGACCTCAGTTCAAATAACATCCTCAGAGACAACTTTCTTCACCTTCTGATACTCTCCATTACATCATCTTTATTCCCTAGATATCAATGACCACAATCTGTAAATATCTTCTTTTTGTAGTGTTTATTACTTATTTCCTTCTGTGCAAGCCCCACAAGGATAGGGACTTCTTGCTCTTATTTTCTCCTATAATCCCCATTACTGGCACAGTGTCCTGAATACAGTGGGCTCAATCAATATTTGTTGATTAAAGTACCTGGTGCATATATATACATGAAAAAATACAAATATACAGAATGAGAATTTCCAGAGATTTACTCATCATCACTATTGGAATAAAAACACTCAAATCATATGACCCATGGTATAAGTATACTTGAGACTTTGTACAGGAAGGAACATAAATACATATCTTCAATGACATAAAGGCATATTTCTAATTCTGATATTGCTTAGTAGAAATACATTTTTTCCTATGTCATATAGAAGGCTGATTAAAAGAACGGTTCAACAGGTTAAATCTTTGTTAGTTTATTCAAATATGTTTTAAACATTCAAATGAAAAATGTGAACCCATCAATATCTTTTCTTAAATTTAAAAAGCAACTTATAAATGAACCAGGTGCAGATAAAATGCATGAAAGATTACATATAAAAGTAAAAGCTATAAATATTACATCAGTGAAATTACAAAAATGAGTCATGAAGAAAAAACCACGATTGTTAAATACTCACACATCAAAAAAGAAGCATAAAGCTTGCAATTTTGTGGCATAGTACTATATTCAAGGTTTAAAAATTTTGTCTTTATGCAGGAAAATTTCAAATATATTTATATATTTACATGTATAATGCAGGATCAGGAAGAAAGCACTAGTTCCACAGATGCAGTTTAGAATTAGGTCACAACATGGCATTTGATGGACACAGCTTTGGTGTGCCTGATGATACTTGTATTAATTTCTACAGCTCAACAGATTTCTCACATTAGTCAAAACTGCTTGATAATTCTTTTTTCAAAAGGTCTTTATACAACAGAGCATCCATAAATCACCATATATTTGTTCAAGAAATTGCTGAAATTACTCCCTTTATTTTTATATTTCTATATTATCATTTTACTAGTGAAAGCCTGAGTATCTGTAGATTATAAGCAAATTATAAAATAATTTATTAATAACATGCCCCATGGCTCCAATTCTGAACTCAATTACTTCCATAATATGACTTCTGAACAGCCTTCAAATTATAATGTAAATAATTTATTGTTCCACTTTGTAAGTCCAAACTGCTCAAGATCAAAATTAAATTTTATTCCAATTATTTTACATATAAAAGAGACTTTTGTATCAAACTATCTCATACTTAAAAGTAATTATGCTAGATTATGGAAATGTATGTGTATGTGTGCACATATGTATTTACAGTTATGATTTAAAATTTAACTTTAACTGATAACAGCATAGTTTCTCAAAAGGTAAAAACATTTATTCCACCCAGCAAGAAGAACATGAATTATTCACCTTCAAATGGTATTTCTCTTTTATATTCCCTCACAGCCAAAGGAAATATCCACAACATGTAGCAGGGACAACTGATTAAAAACAAAGTTCTCAGTACTTCAGCTCAGTTACAAAGAAGAAAAATAGAAAAATCAGACCACAATTAAGAAGAGCAGAGGATAATATGTGTTAACAGGGTTTCTACAAGCTGACTGAAAATTTTATGTTTAATGTAGCTAAACTTTAACTTCATCTTTAACAGGTGAAATTAGGGTAGTAAAGGTTAAGGGGGGAAAAGATTTAAGCAAAAACAAACAAAAATCTTATTGGAAGATTTTTATAGATTTTTATAAAGAAGAACTTTATAAATTAGACTTTCCCCACCCTATCTAAGTCTTGTTATTCAGGAAAGGAAAATTCCAAAGGTCATTCAGGCTTTGATTCAGAGACTAGGAGGGAACCTGGTATCCAAGGGACAAAAAAATTAATTTGGCAACCCTATGATAGGACTTCTTATTGAACTCAAGATAAATCATGTAATATTTTTGCCATGTGCAAACTTCCTCACATGCTGTCTCCACCT